AGCGTTATTCAGTAAGATTATTGGTCAATCTGTTAAGCAGCGAAATTTTTCATCCGATTCAGTGGATATTTTTAGAAGCTAGCAGATCAGTAGCATTCTGAGGCTTTAAGAAACCAATCATTGTTTTTTTTGCACTTTTTGAGAGACGTCGTTTTATGAGTTGTGTTCAGGCAAGTATTCCTTTTGACTGGATTATGAAGGTGGAATGATGTGTGCAGTGGTTACTTTCTTTCTCGCAGTTTTAAACGTGTGTAGCCTAGGAGTCGTTGGTGTGCTTTTCGGTTTTGGGCCACTGTGCTACGAGGATGTTTTCTTCCGACCTGTTAAACTCTTTACATATCTCATGAAATTGCAGTTGCCTGAATTACATCCGCAGTAATCACGTCAACAAATGCTTCTCTCCCATGTCCTTAATCGGAATCGTTCGAATCCCTCTGGATCTCTCCGATACGTTTTCATTTCCTGTAAACGCTTCTCACTACTCTGTTGATATGGACGTATGTTTTGTGCTCATAATGTGGCTCTGATTATCAGGGAACATTGGCTTCGTGTACGAGACATTTTCGCTTCAGTCATTTTGTATTTTAGGACGTTCTTTCATGAACGCACTTTCAAACTGCCTTCAGTCCAGCTGCGCCCACTCGTTGAGCAAATCGTATCTATTAGTTGGAAATTAACAAACCAATAGCAATCGAAACCAATAGCAATCGTCCAACACTGAATCAAATGAATCTTCAATTTTCAGTTATACGACTGGCTGAAAATCGCTCAGTTCATTGTCCCACCATTCAACATTTAGGCCTGTTAGGTTAAATCAACACTCAAGAAGCGTGATTGAACAGCCTAAAAACATATGAATTAAACTGTGAACGTTGTGAACACTTTCTCAGAGGGGTCGGTCTGAAAATAGCACTCGACAGAAACGTAAAACTTGATGGATGCGTGAGTTCATGCATTATCCTTACAGAATACAGTCTCACCCGGTTAATCGCGCTTGTTCAATGGTTCTGCTTATGAATAGGACGTTCATTGAATCGTGTAAGATGCGTTTGAATAATTCCATCCGACCACTCATATTCACAGCAAATAGCCACTTTCTGTCGAACACCTAGCCAATGAATTGCTTATGAATAGATCAGTGTAAATGTGACTTCATCGCTATAGAAACCCTCCAAAAGCGCTTCTTCACCTTGCACTCCTGTCTTCATCTTGCGCTCCAATTCCCAATAATCGCTTCTTCACCTTGCACTCCTACCTGTTTCCTCCGCATCGTTCCCATGCCAATCTGTCCAAATGAGTGTGAGTTTTCATCAAAATTTCGCACACAAGACGCAAAGATCGGAAAAAGAAACGGATTAGTAGAATGGACAAATCAATCAGCATAAATATCATGAGAAAGTTCCGATGAGCGGAGTGCTGAATGCTGACTAAAGTTTGATGTTGGATGGAGCTGTGGTCGAATATGGCATTACGCAAGGGACACCAAAACAACCCTAAAGTAATGAGATGGATGTGCACAATTCCAGAAGCGCATGATGGACAATGAAATTGGATGTTATGTTAAGCGTATGCTGAGCGAAGAACAATATGTAACAATACGATGTGTGTAATGTATGACCGAATGAAAATAAAAAGATCAGCCGAGCGCTTTCATCAATTCCCAACAATCACTACATCACCACCACTAATTTGGTCTTTATTCGCCTTTCACCCGAAAATAACAATCAATTCATTACAATAACATTTTCATTGCACCATCCATCCCTTGTGGCCAACATCTCATCCTGTTTGATTCATTCGAATTGCTGCATTCTCATCGTTCACGTCCAATTTGCCGATGTCAATTCAATGCCTCAATAGTTTCATCAATTTTGATAGCGCCATAGGAGTTCATTGACAGCAAGCATGTAAGACTGAACAGTGATCGATTATGCTGCATTCTAGTTTGGACGCTACACTGCCATTTCCGTTGGAGTCAGTCGCATTCAATTTATCACTTCTGAAAGCATCGCACTTGATTTTGCGATACACTAATTCACTCCGTTTAACTAATAGTAAATTTTCCTAATCGCTGGAAAATCGTACGCAGGACGAATTTCTCGGCTAACTCTGGTCATCAAGTTTTATGGCTCTCACGATTTGAATTTTCGCAGCTACAAAAGACAGCAGTGTTTCCTTTCCGTCGCACGATCACCTTGAAATGTTCGACATCTTCATGTCGAAATCATCATGCTTTCGGGGCTGTGTTACAATACAATTGATTTCCGAACACAAAGGCATTGGAAAGTTTCAATTTGCTCATTCTGTTTAGTTGTTTGATGCGTTTTCTATTCCCTGTCAATATCGGTAATCACTGAGTGGCAATTACAAAATGTTGGTGATAATTAGCGCTGAACCTCATCCACTTTCTGATGTCGTGCAAGCAGTCTTCAGGCGCTCCTCAGATTGATAATACTAATGCTCATGAGAGACAGTAAGTTTGTCCATTTGATATTCACATAAATTCTCTTTCAAACTAGGCAGGCAATCAATGCATTCAGCAAATGCGCATGTTTCATTCATTTACGATTGTGACTGACTGAATTGCCTAATCGTAAGCGTGGGCAAGTGTACTATAGGGCTTTCAGCCAGCAAATTTTATGCTCATCGTGGGATACTATCGACGCATTGTGTTCATCAAAACACACCTTGAATTCGATGTGCTACCGTCAATAAACATCCACAGAATGGCAAACGTATTCACTGCGAAATTTTTTCCCAATATCAAGCATACTGCTTTAAGCATGAAAACGCTTATAGACCACTACAAACGATTACTCGNCACTACAAACGATTACTCGCTATTCTATGAATTGAATTACAATCTTCTCTTTGCTATGTATATGTAGCTGACAGAAACATTGCACTTCAACGAGACTGTCATCCAGGCGATAAATTCACATCACTCACACATTTACCATTAGATTAGCGTAATTTTTATTGGGCAATATCATTCGTCTGTTGTTTTTTTTTCTGCTACGTAATTTCATTTCGGCTTTATTTTGTCACTCATTGCTTAAATATCGGCTACTTCAGGCTTCAGTTCCCACGATTAATTGACAAATTCTTCATGAGTGAATTTTCACAATTCGTTAGGCAATAGGGAAAGTAATAAAATCATAGTGAGGAGATTTTGCGAGATGGAATTGTTTGAATTTGTCATCTTTGGGACAATAACTTCGCAAGATATCCATCGAGTTCACTTACCTTTGTCTCTATTCGAACCCAAAATTGTAATGGTTTATGTCGTTTGATTGATACAATTTAAGCATCCTTATTATTGAGTCCTGCACATACTTGAATAAGTAAACATGATGTGTTCAAGGATAAGTATGAATCAAGCTATTTTTGCTGCCCCGAAAACACCCTTAAATGATCTCCAATCGACACATTTATCGCTGTGCAATGATTGCTCAAATGTGATACTTCATAGAGTNTTATGCGGCGATAAATTTTCTGATTTCGTTTCCGCATTTCATTCCCATTTTCTTCTAAATTCAGTGTCTTTCTATAATGCTTCACTTCGCTCTGTTGCATCGAAAACAATACATTCCAATCAAATCGTTTCAGTTTCACTCTATTCTATTGCTTGTCAATCTAACGTTGCCATTTCTTCTGTTGTGGTATGATGTGATGTTCTGGGTTATCCAGAACACACTTTGTCACGTTCATGTGCTGTCTCCGGGCGGTTTCCACAACTAGAACGTCTATTCTAAAGGCGGATTTCTATACACTAGCATTCACACAAACTTTGGATTCTCTGAGTTATTGAGGCAAAAAACCCAGAAATTTCGTTTGCATGAATTAAGAAGAGATAATTTTAAAAAATTGTGGTGACCAACTAGTGCTCTCTTCTCGATAGCAGAAATCCAGTAACCTATCCAACACTACAGAAGAGCTACTGCAGTAGAAGAAATTATATCTGGCTTCGCGATGAAGAATTAGTACTTTAAAAAAAATCCATTTTTCTCTCGGTCGAGAAGTCCTCAAAGCCACAAACCACTCAGCAACGACTGTGGAAAATGAGGAAGATGCAATTTTAAAGGTACTCAACATAACTGAGCCTATCAAATCATCAAATAACAGGAGTTCGTTTTAATGATGATTAATGACTGTTCTTGAGTAGAAACATTTTCCTGTTAACTCAGATCATTCTCGAAATTTAATGTTCCCATTTTCAAACATCTCGGGCTTTCTATACAATGAGAATGACTGCGACTGATTCAAAACCAATCAGAGTTATATTGTCGATACTCACGGAATAAGAAATCGCATCGAAATCCATCAGTTCCTGAATTGGTAAAAACAGATATACGTTCTAGTTCTTTAATTTGCTCTCAACTACGAATATGATAACGTTATCAAACACCTGACTCAGTTGGATTATTTCATCTTAAATCTCCCACAACCTCAGTTCATTCGGACCAAGCAAAGAATCCTTTCGAAGTTTCTTTTTCGAACAATTCACTTTAATCAGTATGCTCTGAATTCCATTCGGAACTTTTGCATCGCAGAAAATTTTGAAAATTCACATTTTTTATAAATTCATTAATATTGTATTGTATTCATTAATCCAGCAGAGTGATCTAACGCAACTTCGCAAAGGCTAAATTAATCAGAAGACGTGTTGCGAGCGGAGTTTAATGGAAAAATTGATACGTAATATCTATTACGTATGAATTTTTGATACGTAATAGATATTACGTA